AATACTTGCCGAAGCTTGTTCGTACGAAAACATCAGCGACAAGTGTTGCAATGTAGGGAAGATAACAAAGAAGGAAAAGACAGTACACATAAAATACGGTCACGGCAGATCTTCTGAGCTGTTTGAAGCGCATCCCTTGGCCTGCATTGGCCGACATAACTTGCATCTGGGAGTGAATCTGTCCCTGATGTCGAATAACTACTCTATAAACCTCAAAATACGCAAAGAAATTGGCAACAAGACAAAACACTATGATAAGACCAAAGACTGGATACAAAGCATGCGCCTTCAACGGTTTCGCACTGGAGGAGAAACCAGACACCGTCCATATCACAGCAATTGCAAGAGCTGTTTTGTTCATGGTGACAAGACTGTTGTACCGTAGGTGAAATTTTAGAGCAATCATCCTATCCAGGCTGATGGCTGTGAAGGTGAGGAAGGACACACCACAGAGACAGATGCCTGCAATGTCTTTTGTCTTAGAGACGGAAGATAATATATCATCGTTAACAACCAACCTCTGTAAGGTTTTGAGGATAAACAGAGGTTGGATCAGTAACCCAACTGCTAAGTCCGAGACAGCGAGGTTGCACAGTAGCATGTTGCCAGGAGTGTGTAAAGAGCTTGTTTTCCAGATGGCGACTAAAACCACGCTATTTGTAACAATTATGAAAGGGCTGGTAGAAACGTTTAGTATCACTAGTGCAATGTCCAAGGCGGAAATACTGTCGTCACTCGTTCTGTCCGTAGAATCGGGCTTTGAGGTTGTATTCATGTCCATAATATTCTTTTCCTCTCACTTTTAAAGAAGCGAAACTCGAGCGCTTAACGTTGCGAAAGTCACTTTAATAATGCGACTGAAGACTTCGGACCGAGCACTTTAAAGTGTTTTCTATCGAATTGATGCTGGATATCAATCAAGAGATTGATATTGTTGTTCTCTTTGCAATCAGTTTTAGTTAAACCGGAGATCCTCCGGTGGGTTAATTGAAATTGCGATTGGGTCTGCTACAATAACATGTGGTTATATCACGATCTCCCGCGGTTACTCTGGACAACGGACTGTGCGTAGAGGATCTGCTAGGGTGAGATAGATTATTTTAGATCAGCGTTATTACAAGGGAGGGGATTTCTTGAGTAAATATCAGAAAGATGTCTTTCTGATGTTAAAGTAAGGAGAAGTTTATGAACAACTGAATCCCTAGTTTAGAGTCTTTCACAGGTCCCATGCAGTCACGCTAAAATTTAACCATCTAACAACGGTTGTAAAAATCTGCAAAATAAGTAACATGCAGATATGAATTTTGGCTTAGTTTCTCTCCCACCCTCTCCTCTTTGCATAGAAAAGTCTATTGACTATCAACAATTCGCCGCATGGACCGAAATAATTTGTTGTGAGTATCACTGAGAACTGAACTAGTACCGAATAAAGAGATTAAGCTTTGAAAGAAACTGTAATGCTACGTCTGTGGGGGATATTACAAGGTTATTACATTGGTTTTAACAAACTGAGTTGATGTAAAATTGGCCACCGTAAAGCCGGAGTTCCTAATGCTGACATTTCAAGCGTTGTGCCTTCTTCAGAGCGAATTTACTTATTCTATCGTGAGAAGCACTGTGAATAAGGTTTTGCGTTGAACAACAGTTAGATTTTAGTCCTACGAATTATTTACTGAATCGAAACGCAATCAGAAACCCAAGTAATTAAAGTTCCTACAGAGGATAGTAATTGGTTCTCATCTTTCATAGCTTGTCACAAAGTTTATAAAGGTTACCGTAATTGGACCAATGCTAAGTTAAATTAAATAAGATTTTTATTCTTTAGAATGTGAAAGGAAAGTCGTAGTTGTTCTCAAAGGTGGTATCGATTTCATGACACCTGCCTTTTCTGTTGTTAGGGCAAATCGAAACAAGAGTTGTATACGTTAATGGATTCTTTGTGGTATGTCGAACTGTAATCAGTGAGAACCAGTCAGAACCCCTCCCCTCTTGAAGAAAGGTTTTAATGCTATCCTTGAGTCTTAGCATTTAAAGTTCCAGCTTAAACAGAAACTTGCTTAATCCAAACAAAATTGGTTACTTTGAATGTTAGGAGATGAGTTAATTGCAATTAGAGGACTAGCGTTGCATAAACTAAGGTCAAAACCAGGCTAAAACCGATTATCAGTTAAAATTTATATTATAATTATATATTTATTGTCTTGACTCGTCGCAATTACATGGGCAAAACGAAAAATATTTTCAAACTTATTATTTACATAACGAGGATGATAAGGTAAAAATAATCGTAATAATGAAAAAGGGCATTTAAACGGACAAACTTAAAATCGCTTAAATGATTCCCATATCAACTAAGTATCTAAACAAATCGCTGAATCAATAGATATTATATTAGGGTCACGCTTTTTCGTATCCTCTACAACCAAACTCACTTTGTACTACACCTTAGTTCATACTTCTATCGTGTATTATAGCACCGCCTGGTCCTCCAACATGCGTATCTAACTTACCCCCTTTACACCCTAACATCAGTAGGCATATTCTCCATACTGTTCTTTACACATTTCCTTAGGCAATGATAAGGAGAATTTGTCTAGCCATCAAGAGATTTAGAGATTTAGTT